TAAGTGATAGAGGGAAGGCAGCGTTATCAGTAGAGAGGATCAAGACAATAGATTGGTGTAAGTGGAACCTTTGATCCAAGGGCCTTTGGAGCTGCAGGGAATCCAACATTACTGATCCTACGCAAGCTTTGTTTTTCCATAGCTCTATCGGTAAACTGCCCGCCTCCTGAGAAAGTGGTGTTATCCTGTTGTTAAAAAATACTCCATGTTTTTTTTTTTTTTTTTTTCTGTTTAATATTATCTTTGACATCAACAGATCATTATTATCCTATATTTTGAATCAATATAAGTCCCTGTTTTCAGGTTATCCTTGGATTCCGAGGTCAGGAGTTTGCTCTATTGTACATGTTTTCAGCGATAGTGGAAACCGGAGCAAATAGAGGAAACAAACCGAATCTAGGACTTTCTTAAAATCGTGAATCTTCTTACTGCTCCTGGCCTTTTATACACCGTCATAGTAAACATTACTATCGACAATCATATTTTAATATACCTACAACTATGACATGAGGGGAAGGCATCCAAATGATTAGATACTTATTTTTATCAGAATCAGAATCAGAATCATTTTTATTGCCACGTAAGTAACAGGAGGTTACAGACTTGGAAATTGCTTTGGCTAGTGCAACAGTCAGAAAGAGATAATAAAAATAAGAATAAAAAACACTTCCAAAGAATAAATTTAAATTTAAAATAGAGTTACAGTTACTATTTACAATATACAAGTGCACATGGTGCACACAATGTAAGGTGACAGCAGTACAGTGAAGTAAAGTGACGTATGATGGGCAGTAAAGTGACTTTATAAAGGGCGGGGGGACAGGTTAAGAAGTGTTCAAGAGTCTAACAGCAGAGGGGAAGAAACTGTTCTTGTGGCGGGAGGTTCTAGTCCTGATGGACCGCAGTCTCCTGCCTGAGGGGAGTGGTTGGAATAGTCCATGTGCAGGGTGAGAGGGGTCGGCTGTGATACGACCAGCCCGGCCTCGAGCTCGGGCGACGTATAGGTCCTGCAGCGATGGAAGGCTGCGGCCGATCACTTCCTCTGCAGAGCGCACAATGCTCTGTAGTCTCTGTTTGTCCCTGACTGTGGCTCCAGCGAACCACACAGTGATGGAGGAGGTGAGGATGGACTCGATGATGGCCGTGTAGAACTGCACCAACATCTGTGCAGGCAGCTTGGCTTTCCTGAGTTGCCCTAGGAAGTACATCCTCTGCTGGGCCTTCTTGATGAGGGAGCTGATGGTCGGCTCCCACTTGAGATCCTGGGTGATGGTGGTGCCCAGGAAACGGAAGGACTCCACAGAGGTGATGGGGGAGTCCATCACGGAGGGTGGGGGCGGGGGGACAGTGCTCTTCCTGAAGTCCACAATCATCTCCACTGTCTTCTGGGTGTTCAGCTCCAGGTTGTTACCACTGCACCAGGACACCAGCCGGTCCACCTCCCTCCTGTAGGCGGACTCATCGTTGTTGGAGATGAGTCCAATGAGGGTGGTGTCGTCCGCGAACTTGATCAGCTCCACGGAGTCGTGGCTGGAGGTGCAGTCGTTGGTGTACAGGGAGAAGAGCAGGGGAAAAAGAACACAGCCCTGTGGGGCTCCTGTATTTATAATCCGAGAGTCAGAGACATTCTTCCCCAGACGCACTCGCTGCTTCCTGTCCGTCAGGAAGTCAGTGATCCACCTGCAGGTGGAATCGGGCACGTTGAGCTGGGAGAGCTTGTCCTGGAGCAGGGATGACAGGATTGTGTTGAAGGCAGAGCTGGAGTCCACGAACAGGACCCTGGCGTAGGTCCCCGGGGAGTCCAGGTGCTGTAGTATGTGGTGGAGGGCCAGGTTAATGGCGTCGTCTACAGATCTGTTGGCTCTGTAGGCGAACTGCAGGGGGTCCAGGAGGGGGGAGGTGAAGGACTTGAGATGGGAGAGAACCAGGCGTTCAAATGACTTCATGACGACAGACGTAAGTGCTACAGGTCTGTAGTCGTTGAGTCCTGTGATCCTGGGCTTTTCGGGACGGGGACAATGATGGAGGATTTGAAGCAGGCCGGGACATGGCAGGACTGCAGAGAGGTGTTGAAAATGTCAGTGAACACAGGAGTAAGCTCACTGGCGCAGTGTCTCAGAGTGGCCGGAGACACGTGGTCCGGGCCAGGAGCTTTGCGGGGGTGCAGCCTCAGGAAGAGTTGTTTAATCTCTTTAGCGGCTATTGTTAGGCTGGGGGCAAGGCTGATGGGTGGGTCGTTAGAGTAGTGGGGGGAGGGAGAGGTGTCAGGGGCAGCATCAAAGCGACTGAAAAATAAGTTCAGTTCGTCAGCTAGCTTGTGGTCGTCAGCACAGGGGGGGGGCTTTGGGTTTGTAGTTGGTGATCTCCCGTAGGCCCCTCCAGACAGAAGCAGTATCGTTGTTACCAAACTGCTCCTGTAGTCGTTCTCTGCCGGGACTTGGCTGCTTTCAGTTCTTTCCTGAACTGATATTTAGCTGCTTTGTAGCCGCTGCGGTCCCCCTCCCTGAAAGCAGACTCCTTTGCTTTCCTGAGCTGCCGGAGTTTAGCAGTGAACCAGGGTTTGTCATTGTTATAGATGACCCTGGTCCATGTTGGAATGATGCTATCCTCACAGAAGTGAATGTATGACGTCACAGTGTCCGTATATTCATCCAAACTATCTGTGGCAGCTCTGAAAAGGTCCCAGTCTGTAGATTCCATGCATGCGCGCAGCTCTTCCACAGCTTCATCAGACCACACTTTGGAGCTCCTCACTGCAGGTTTCGAGAGCTTTAGTCTCTGTCTGTAAGCAGGAACCAGATGTATCATGGAGTGATCTGAGAAGCCGAGGGCTGGCTTGGGAACAGCGCCAAAAGCTCCGCGCACGGTGGTGTAGCAGTGATCCAGAGTGTTCTCCTCTCTGGGAGGGCATTTGATAAACTGTCTGTATTTGGGTAATTCCTGGCTCAAGTTTCCCTTATTAAAATCCCCCAGGATAATAATCAGAGAGTCCGGGTATAAACGTTCCATACACAGTACTTGCTCTGCGAGTGCGCGCTGAGCCTCGCGCGCGTCCGCGCATGGCGGTATGTAAACAGAGGCAAGAATGAATGAAACAATTTCACGAGGGGAGTAAAATGGTTTACAATGAATGAAAAGATAGTCCAGAGCAGGAGAACAGTGCTTGGAGATCACTGTCACATCGTTACACCAGTTTGTATTGACGTAGAAACACAGCCCACCGCCTCTGCTCTTCCCTGAGAGCGCACAATGGCGATCCGCGCGGAACAGCCCAAAGCCCTGCAGCTCCAGAGCACAGTCCGGGATCCGCTCATTTAGCCAGGTCTCTGTGAAGCAGAGGACACAGGATGTGGCGAAGTCCTTGTTTCTTCTCATGAGCAGGCTGAGTTAGTCCATCTTATTGCCCAGTGAGCGTACGTTGGAGAGAAAAATGCCGGGGAGAGCCGTGCGCGCTCCTCTCCTCCTAAGACGCACGAGCAGGCCTCCGCGCTTTCCCCTTTTACGGGCCCACACTTTTTTGGCTAGAACATGAACTAAATCAGCCGCAGATGCCAAGAAAACAGGCAATAGGTCCATGGGAACGGTGGGTCGGATGTTCATAAGTTCCTCACGGGTGTAGGAACAGCCAGATGTGCAGTTAAAAAGTAAAAACAAAAGAAAAAGAGAGCAGCAAAGAGCCATGTCGACCGTACGAGGCGACATCCAGACAAAACTGTCTGGATCATTTTAACATGTCATTTAGCTTTTCTGTTTCAAACAGATTGTAATTAGCACAACTGCTTCCTCTTTGTCGTTGCCATGTACACAAGCCTCTGTTTTATTATACCATTTCAGAAGCCAATTTTCTCTTGTTTCAGGTTTTTGTTCTTCAGATTCAGATTCAGATTCAGATTCATTTATTTGCCATTTGCAGTAAAACCACATTGGAAAAACTGTGCAAGACTACCCCGGTGTGCGCCAGACAGAGACGACACACACCAGAGCTCTTGCCACGGCGCCATTTTTCCGGCGCCATGCGACAAACAGTAGAATAAACAGCAGAGAGCAATAACATACAGGTTACAACAGACAGTTGGATAGAAAACATTGTGCTTTTTATAAACCACGGATTTTTTTCTCGGGATGAGCACCTCTGGCTGCCGGTCCAATGTGGCTGTCAGAGGGGGGCGGGGTCAGGGAGGGGGTGAGTCGGAAACACAATGAGGAGGGGAGGGGAGGGAGAGATCAGAGGGAGGCGAGGGGAGCGGGATCCAAACTGGAAGACTGAAAGAGTGTGAAATTTTTGTAGAGACCAGATTTTTTATGATGGCCTTGGCCCGAGGAATGTGAGATAAGAGAGGAGCGAAGACACAGCAAGGAGAAAAACACATCTTCCTGTAACAAGGGACAATCTAGTATGCATTCTAGCAGTCAAAAACAGGCAGATATTCTATTAAATCCAATTAAACCGAATTGCGGCGCCCTCAAACCCCGTACACAGGGGCCAATCCAAGCCGGGTCAGAGAGTTCAAGCGTGACAAACAATGTCATTCAATCTCAATTCCAGAGTTTTATGCCCATCAAGTGAACGAGCTGCGAGATCTCTGATCAACATCTTTGGAATCTATCAATCTGTTAATGTGGTTTTCTATTTAAGTAAGTAAGTAAGTATTCTTTATTCATATAGCGCCTTTGTGGGCAGTACAGGAGGCGCATGCCAGACCTATTGTACATGTTTTTGAAACCGATGCACCTGCAGGATACCTATGCAGACGCAGGGAGAACATGCAAACTCCACTCATAAAGGCCCTGTTCCGACCGGGAACAGTATCACAATGAAACAGAAATCTTGGTTCTCAGCAAGAGTGATGTCACATTTTGTTTTTCATTGCCACACTGATGGCAATGGTTCTTTAGGGGTGTAGTTTTCTATGCCTTCTCTCGTATCGCAGTAAACTTCTCTGCATGCACATGATTTGTTTACCTCTCATTAATAATCTGCTCCCATTTCCTCTGTGCAGGTGCGGACCTCTTTTCCAACTGCACCGAGGAGTGTAAGGCCCTGGGACACTCGGACCGCTGCTGGATGCCCTCCTTCGTGGCGGCGGAGGGTCGGCAGGGACCCGACTACCGCAGTAACCTGCACGTGCCTGGCATGGACTCGGCGCTGCCCGACACAGAGGTACCACCGCAGCCGCCCGCCCCCGTCAGCCTGTCAGAGCAGCTCCCCTCGCTGTCCTCTTCAGCAGCTTCGACCAACAACGATAGGTCATTCTCCACCTTTGGCAAGGACGGTCAGAGGTCTCAGTCACACCACAGTCTACACCATCACCTCCATCAGAGCCCGCAGTACAGCAGCACGCTAGAGAGGAAAGAGTATGATAGGGGGACGCTACCGTACAAACCCACCTTTCTGTGTGAGTATCAGTATGAAACCTCCCTAGGGCCACTCGACTTCGGTCTGGTCCAACACAGATACTAACATATTTATGACGGAGGGCCTTTCTGATTCCAATCTGGATTTATGTTATGTTCTTCTATTTTAAGAAGTTTTATTTCTGTGCTTTTTTTAATTGTGAATTTTGATGAATGTAAATGCACTGTAAAACCACAGTACTAAACTGAAAGAAGCTGTTCTAAACCAATGAATTGAAACACTAATCTTATTGGAGATTATTATGTTAGAATATATATTTTCTATTTATACCATATAGACATATTTTTTATAAATAAATTATGTTATTTAATTTAGATAATAAAAAAATAAAAAAACATTTAGAGAATTTAGAACATTGACTATATTAATTTTTGTTTTCAGAAAATATATGTATAGCATACAATAGAACACACATATACCATTTCCTTTTAATGAACCAGCAGTACAACATTACATTTATTTGCACTATTGGGTTTTACAGTGCTGTAATATAGTGTTGCTAACTTCCCCTCCACCAAAAACCTGCTTTGAAGCACCCAAACCCTATTGCCCCAATAACAGAAATGTCTGTAACCATGTAACCTACAATAAACTCACATTTGAATTTGATTTGCCTTTTTGTTTTTGTTATTTTTCCTTTTATTTATTCTCTAAATTCCCCCCGAACGATTTATATAAATTTTATCTGATGCTCATAAGCAAAGGTCAAAACACATACTGCTCTGAAATTATAACAGACCACTGCACTTTTCTCTTGAATCATTATCTCGTCTGCAAATCTCTCTTTCAATTCCCTTATTCAGAACCATTTTTTGAATTATATATTGAGGACATGTTTTTTTTTTGCCTCTGAATGACTACATTAGTATTTCAAAGACAAAAAGGCAGTGGTCTCCTTATACCAGCGCTAAATGTTTAATCCAACAGAGCATCTCACTTCAGACTAACAAAGAGTACAGGGATGATACACTAGGCCATCTGTCACCATTTGTGCACGACTTCTGTTTGAGCATGATGACTTTTCTACTGAACACATCCACAAGTGAACCAATTCAATTCAATTCAATGAAATGTATTCTTGTGTAGCCCTAAATCACAACAGCAGTTATCTCGGAGGGGTTAATAAAACTGTTGGAATCGCTCAGAGAGAGAGATCAGAGAATCAAACTGATTAGTCTAAAAAATAGAGCCATTTGTTCATAAGGGACAGATGACAAACTTCCACAAATATCGATTAATGTCCATAAATGTTGAGTTTCTGTCCATTTAGTTAGAGGGTTAGCGTTAGGGTCTAAAATCGCAATGCTTTACACACTAAGATTCATTAAAAAAGAAAAAAAAAGGGTCTTGTAGCAAATTAATTAGTTTTTTATTTTTTATTTTATTTTTTTGAATACTGCTACTTCTACTTAGCCCAGCGAGTATTTTAGAACCATCCATTCATTTTCTCAAAGAAGAGGTCTGGTTTATGATTGTTCACAGCCGTTTATTGGGCAAAACAAATGTCTATGATATGCGCAATATGTTGTTATTAGTAGTATACATAGTAGAAATAGACTTAGGGGCCGTAAAAATCACTGGACCTGGTTTTGAGGTGTAAATGCCAAAGAAATACAAAAGACTGGTGACTGCGCGCATACTTCAACGTGTACTCGGCAGAAAACTTGGCTGACGTCCAAATAACAAGTACAATGGCTGAGAGGAAAATAATAACTTATAATAATAACATTTTTGGTGTAAAAGCAGCAACATGATGAAAAGATTTTGTCAGTAAAATAGATACCAGACTGAAAAAAGCCTTCTTGACTAAAGGGTTATTGAGGAAAGGGTATGCACAGCTTTCATTTGTGTTTCCAGCTCCCTCTCTACATGAATATTCCATTAGGTCTAAGAGTTCAGAAAGGATTCGATATATTCAGTAGACAAGTCATTTCCAGTCAAATCACCACCACGTTAACCACCTCACCCTGCATGACACTGCATGCTAACTGTCTTTGTACAATGCCACTTTGTTTTTGAGTTCTGAATAACGTGTGAAAATGCATTATGTAAATGTTACATGATGGTAGTAACATATCTCAAATAGTTGCATCTATTTGAGATTTGGAGCTTTCATCCAATGAAGGATGTGTTTATTTGTTTAAAGATAAACCCTTCTACTCCGCAATACACATCACCATATTTTCGTGAATTCAGCTTGCATTTTTATGGGTACTTTCTTAGAGCGATATCATAGTTGTTTCTGGTCTTAGCAAAACAGCAATTTCCCTCTTGCACATCAGGACTGGAAAATAATTGCTATTCAGCCTTTAGGTGCTTATGCTCCAGATATAGCAGTCGTGTGTGAATGCAGACCTCATCTGTCTCGCAGGGTTAGGAGAAATCCACTTTTCATTCACTTGGTCCAGAACTCACGCACAACTTTATTTGTTTTAATATCTCTACTTTATTTGCCTGCTGAAATAAATTGACTTCTCACCGCAATGCAGACAGTTTTGTAGTTTTGCGTTCTGTAGAAAAGATTGGCCCCACTGGGTAAGGCCCTATTAACAAACACACATGATGTTCTACTTATAAAAATAGCCCCTTCCTCCCAGTATCGCTCTGAATACCAGAGCTGCCTCAATAAAGCCTTCATCAATGTTTAATGGACCATTTATAGATAATTAATGAAGCAATTAATGCAGTGTGTCTTTTCTGTCCATGCATTGTGCAGCTGCCAAATTCTTCTCATTTTATCTTCGCTGATGGACATGTTTTTGCCAATTCCCAATTTAGTTTTGACCATTGTCCTTGTTATATATATGAGCTATAAATAACTTCAGATGGGGAAAGAGAGACTGCTCTTTGTGGCATGTATCCTTCTGGAGACAGTATTTCAACAAGAAACGTCTCAGGAGACCAGACTCATTTGTCTAAACGTGTGTGTTCTTGTGTCTTTGCAGCCCGCAAAAGGATTTGCTAGCTCATTCCACGTGGACCTGTCGGAAACAGCGTGAATTGCTGTATTGAGAGTGTGACTCGAAATAACTAGGAAACTGTATCCTGGACAACTGTAGCCCTGGTTAAACTTAATTATCTCGGGTGGCCAAGTGTTACAAAAGCCTGGGATGCACAGTGGCCGCCTGAGAGGCAATCAACGGAATTAACAGTGAGGAGCAGAAAAAGGAGCAATCTGAGGCCTTACTTTCCTCTCAGCAGGACTGAGACCAGGCCGAGACGCATCGGTGAAGAACACAAAGCATCAGCAAACAGACGACAAACCGGAAGACCAACGGACCAACAAGGATTGAGGGAATTTTGCCTCTCTCAAATCTTTTTTTTTCTTTTTATATTCTAAACACAAAGGTTGGTCTCTGGACATCTGTGTGTGCCTGTTTACATGAAGAACAAAAAAGTTTCTGTACAAAATTCACACAGAACCCTTTAGCTGTTTTTACGGTCACTTCAACTGTACAGAGACTGCGTAAAGTGGAAGCAACGTCGCAGCAGTGATCTGGAGCTCCGGACATTGAGCAGGAGCAGTGTTGTACAGGTACATGTGACGGGAGCTGGTCATGTGCAGTAGTATAAATTCTGTATCTGTTTTTTTGACTTGACTGTCTTTCTATAACCTCTCCTTTTGATTTCAGTTCTGTGTGGTTCACATGTGCAGGCTCTAACATATTACAGTTAGACTGGACAATGCTCTCCAGTATTGGGTGCAGTCCTCTTTCCAGTTTAGCCACTTCAGGAAGGACACCTGAACAATTAAAAAAAATACAGCTAAAGGTGTGCTTAAATGTGCAGTTTATCAATAAAATCTCACAGATATGAATGTTGTTCAAGCTATTACCTTCCTGATCTGACTGTGCAGAAAGTGATATGACCCCAAACCAAGACGTGATGGCATTGGCTCATACATAAACAATCAGACACACTCAGTGGTTTTTATCATGTGTGCAAAGTGTTTACTGTGCTATTTTGAAAAGCTTATAAATGAATATAGAACTATATATATAAAACTATATATACAATATACTTTTTTCTGAAAACTGTGTAACCATTGGTTAGTTTACATTCCATGATGCCATTCAATCCGGTACTCGAACAGCAGTTGTAACAATTCAAATAAGGCCTAAAAAGCAAAAACCCATCACACGGATCTTGGACTAAGTTGGTGTTCTTTTTGATTGTTCATTTCCACCATTTTCACCGGGCCTTCTTGTGTGTAGCAAATACACCAGTTCAGTTGTGTAATTTTTTATATCTGAATATATGTTCATGTACAGGAAAAGGAGATCTATCCCATATCTTAACAGACATAACTTTGGGGATTTCCACACAGTGTTTATGATGGGAGAGACGCACACAAACACACACAGGTCAAGAGCTGATAAATAAACAGTGTCATTCAACTTCTCCAGTGTGTCTTCTGTTGCGTTGAGACAGGGATGTCCGTCAGTGTCAGAGCAGACTTCAGAATGACTACGGCAGACATGTCAAACTCAGGCTAATGGCCCAAATCCAGCTCGCTAGACAATTTTTAGTGGCCCATAAAATCATTTTGAATTCATATTGTTAACTTGCAGCACGTCAGAATAGAAAAAAAAGGAATAAATCATAGGAAATAACAAATATACCAAAGTAATAAGATAATTAAATCACATAAATTAAATCTCTGGAGCTAAAATTGCACTTGGTTTAAGGATAGTACAGTAGTGGAGGGTTGGAGGTATTTACAGATATTTAAACTGTACTTTAGCAGCAGAGAACATAAATAAAAAAAAGTAATAATAGCAGCAGGTAAAGTGAACAAAGTGGCTTTGGACAAAGAGCAGTAGAAATTCATTGTCAATCACTGAAACGCAACCTAAAAAAATACTAAAACATACTAGATAATTACTCACTTGTTATAGATTCTCATTATTGGTGAACTGAGAATTTCCAATAAACAAAGTCTTGGTATAAACGAGACTGAGGACTGGTGAGACATAATGTTCACAGATCTCATGTATTGAGGTTTGGGGTTTGGTGACTAATTCTGTTTGAATTCAGTGCTAAATCTATATTGGGGATTTGGGTGAAAAAAAAAAAAAGTCTTCAACCGGACACATGGATTGTCATAAAACGATCTTCAGCCCTCCCCTGTGGTTCTTACAGAGTCTTTCAAGATGCAGCCACCATGGTTTTGCCCCACTTCCCTCATTCCATGACCCTGATACGAGAAAAACAAACTTCTTTTTTCGCAACTTCTTTGGGTGTCACTCCAGTGTGTCTGGAAATTGAACATGGATATCAATCTTTATAACTGAAGACAATTTTTTCTTGTATAGCCCTGAATCGCAACAGCAGTTATCTCGGAGGACTTAAATATGATATACCCGATTTTTTTTTTTTTATGAGTTCATAAAAAATGCTTATCACTACATACAAGTTGCATTATAATCCGCAATTGAATTGAAAACTTGAGATAATTGATTCAGCTTGTGTATGAATTCAGGCCGTAAAAAGTGCTGAGTAGAGACTTAGCGTGACGCCCGCTCTCCTCCACTCACAGAACGAGGCTGGGTCCTCTAGCCTCTGCAGCGCTGCTATGCACAGTAGCATGTTAGCAGAATTGGCTATAAATCTACTTGCTGTAACTGCACACACAGCAAAATAGTCCAAACCACACAACAGTGAAAAAGAGAAGAGTGAACTAACGCAAAAAAATGATCAAGGAAGAAATCAATCCCGGGTGAACATAGCTAGCTTACATCATATCCTCTGGAGAGACTTGTCTATGGGAGAGACCTGCGGGACCGCCTCGGACTATCTATGCTCGGTCTACGTTCGGACGCGGAACTAGTGGTAATCTTTCAGTTATATATTGTGTTAGCAGTGCGTTGCTTTTGTACAATTTCATCAGGGATTGTTGTATGCTAATGTTTGCATATAGATCACAAATAAAACTAGATGGCTCCGTGGAATGAGAGCGTAGGGGGAATGAAAGAGACCTTTGAGCGTGTTGAGGGCGGTGCTAAACATTCAAACCTTGCAGAAACGGGTATAGCTCCTTTAAAAAAAACATTTAATTCGCCAACACAGATCAGAGAATAAAACGCAAGAAACACAGTGATTAGAAACACATAAAGCCATTGGTCCATAAGGGGCAGATGACCAATGCCCATAAATGTTGATAAATGTCCATTAATGTTGTTGATTGTTGAGTGTCCTGGATCATCACCACTGTCTTTTTTGTTAGACCCTCCTGCATCGGCAAGGAAAGACTCTAGTTGACTTCAAAATATATGTCACGGACACCAAAATGTTTATACAGATCATTTTTGAGGCAAAGTGTGAGGCCGCAGGGGGCATATAATTGGCCTAAATACAGCGAGGGTCTGTCATGGGATGTAGTTACAAAGAAAGATCCACAAGGCAAAAGCATGTGACTGATGAGATGCTGTCGTGCTGGATAATGCCCTGTGGGGACTGATTCAAATCTCACCCCATAACTATCAGGACCATTTAGAAGAAAATGGAGGTCAAATAAAATAAAGACAGATGTTCCTTTGTAGCCCTAGTTCCTCCAAGGCAAATAACAAATATCTTGTTTCTCCAAATGTTTAATGTCACGACAAATAATGAGCTTCAATCAGGTCATAAAAAGATTGGTTTTCATGGATGGTTGGACAAATTATTTCAAAACATTGCCTAAAAGATTATTGCTATGCTTACTGAATTTCATTTTCATATAGTTTGTATTCTCATCTTTGTTTAGTAAAAAAAAAAGTATGTTTTTATATTTGTCTCACTGCAATAAATATTTATAAAGTGGCAAAGAGTAAAAAACCTAAACGATAACAGCATTAGTATTTACTCCAGTTTAAAGGTATTAGCACCATTTCTTGGTTATATTAAGTTAACAGATACCAAACACATAAAGCAATGATTTTCATGACTCTTTTGTCACACATTTCCATGTCACATTGAAATTATTGTTGATGATTGTGACATATTAACATTCACAAATCTTATAATATAACCTGATAACATTGACCATAATAATCCTTTCTCTGAAACACAGTGTGTGTGCTGTCAATTACACTAAGGAAAGCGCAAGTGTTATCACCCACTTAAGCTTCCAAGCTACTTTTCCAATTGTAACGGACAGCACACACAGTGTGTTTTCCCTTTGTATGACAGCAGAAGAAAAGGAGTGGCTAGTCACTCTATGGAGATTACCTATTTTGGCTTGTATCTGCTTTGTCCTCTCAGCCATTCCCAAAAGTTCAGGTAAGGGTGTGAATGTAGAGTTTTGCATTTCGTCTGAGCTCCCTCACAGCAGTCTGATACATCGACTACATCACTTGGCAACGCTGCTCCTCATGACCAAGACCCTGTGATACTTTAACTCCTATGCTTTAGGATGGAGATGGGAAAGCTGTTTTTTTTCCGGTTGAGCAACATGGCCTCGAATTTTGAGGTGCGGGACTCCCTCTGCCCCTTGACTTCCCCTCGAAAGCCTGTCCACAAAAACATTGAACAGAACCGGTGACGTGGAGCAGCCTTGGTGGAGGCCAACATGCTCTAGGAACAAGTCTAATCTACTGCCGGCGATGTAAACGCAGCTCGGCCGGGAGCAAAGGACACTGGACACCAAACTCCCGAAGAGACAGGTTGGGCAAACTCCCATGACTCTTAAGTATACGATGAAGGGTAAATAGTCATGGCACCACCTGACTGTCAACAACTGATCTTGTCAGATCTCAGAAGCTAAGCAGGGCAGGGTCTGGTTAGTACTATGATAGGAAACCTTGGGGAACACCTGTTGCTACAAGTAGGGTTTCGTCAGTGGCAAGGCAGCTGTAGCTACACAGAATACATAGTGAAGCCATGCGAGTGTCATGAAAAGCACAATATACTACTGATCTGAGAAAGATCACAAAGCTTGTCTACAGATGAAAATTAGTCCTCCTTATGCATCCGATCACCATGTGA